TTCAGTTGAATTACCCTCTGATGTGATTATTTCAGTTGGCCGGGGGAAAGTATACCACAGTGGTGGAATATCGAAAACCCTTTGTCGGCCCTCCTTTTCTGCTCTTTTACGCTCTTTCATCTCCTTGAAATCCTTGGCGGTTGGTCTGAAACCCAAACCGAAGGTATCTCTCTTTTCTACTATCTTCACTGGCTTCAGGATCCCTTGCAGTTCACGCCCCAACCCCTTGTCGAATTTGTATCCTCCACGAATCATTTCTCTGGCCATCATTACACTGGCTTTTGAGGGAGTTTGTTCCTCCGTGGTTATCCAACTTACGGAGACTATATCGGATGTGCTGTGAGGGGACATGGTAACACTTTGACTACCCTCCTCTTTAACTCCAGAATCGGTGATCACCAGGCAGTCCTCTTCAGCAAAGATAGTGATTAGTTTGTCATTTACCACGAACTTGAGCAACTGATGCAACGAAGACGGCACAGCCCCCGACTTGTGAATCCATGGCCTTCCAAGTAAGATATTGTAAATGCTCGGGAAGTTCATGACTTGGCAAGTTATTTGAAACTGGGCGGGCCCCATCTCGATTACTAAATCTGCCTCTCCTATCGGCTCCCTTTGAGCTCCATCAAACCCTCGAACGATAGTCCCTGAAGGCCTCAGCTTGACGTCTTGCAATCCTAGTTTCTCTAAGGTACTCCAAGGACAAATATTCAGTGCGGATCCATTATCGATTAACACCTTAGGCAGCATTTTTCCGTTGCACCTCACTGTTATGTACAACGCCCTATTATGTCCGATGCCCTCCGTCGGCAATTCATCGTCAGAAAAAGTAATCTGTTTGGTAAATAACACACTTCCAACCACATGCGAGAAATTATCAACAGAAATATCCCTAGGGATTTGAGCTTTAGTCAATACTTCGATCAACGCGTCCCTATGCATATCTGATGAAAAGAGCAGGTCCAACATGGATATCTGAGCAGGTGACTTGCTCAGCTTCTCAACTACATTGTACTCACTTCTCTGAAGCCTCTTAAGGAAATCCAAGGCTTCTTTCTCAGTGATTGTTGGTTTAACGGGCGGCTCGGAGTTATTTGCTCGAATCGGAATGGCAGCTTCAAATGGACTTGCAATCTTCCCCGATCTGGTAACCACTGACACTTCCTTCTTTGCAATTGACTTCTCCCCAATCTGTACGTCAGGTTCATCATAATTCCAGGGTACTTGTTGCAAACTTAAAACAGGCTCTTGCTTCGGGAATTCAATGACTACGGGCTCCAAAGCCTCCCTCTCAGCTGGCGTGAGATCCAAAATAAAGGGCTTTTCATCCTCTTCAAATGGCAACTCTATGACAAAGGGTTGGTCTGTGACCCCAAACACTTCAGCTTCCCTTGCCAATTCTCTGACTGGTTCCACATACTCCGTATCATCCAGAATAACCCCAATGATATTGGCATGTTCCGGTAAAGGGTTTCTATTTACGTTCGGTCCTTGTGCCTCCCTTCTCCTAACTACAATTTCCCCAGCTTCAACCATATCTTGAATTTTATGTTTAAGCGCCTTGCAATCAAAGGTGGCATGTCCGGGGGCCCCAGAATGATAAGCACAAACGGCTTGTGGGTTATACCACGCGGGCATGCCATATGGGTAGGTAGGAGGGGGTACCGTACCAATTTTCCCGGCGGCCTTCAACTGGTCGTACAATTGGTCCAGAGGCCTGCCTAAATTGGTGAAGGTACGGCTAGGTGGTCGGTTGTAAGGTTCAGGAGGTTGAGGATGGTTGTAAGCAGGTCTATTTGGTGGTGGAAATCTTGGATTATATGGTGGGCGTGGTCGGTTTTGGGGTGGATTTGGTTGAGAAATTTGAAAAGGAGCTACAGGTGGGTTGGGATAGCTTGGGCGAGGTCGAGGATGGTGGATGTTGGTAGTATATACAGGGTACGGATTCGGATAGTAATGATAAGGTGGTTGGTAAGTTGGATTGTGTTGATATCGGGGTCTGGGTGAAGGGTCTTGGTTCCAAATAAAGGTTGCATCCCCCTCCTTTTTCTTGAACGGTGGCTTTTTCACGTTGCTTCCTTGACCTTGTAAAGCATCCAACTGAGATTTGAGGGCGGAGACATTGACAATCTTTCCAACTCTCACAAAGTCATCAAACTCCTCAAGTTTGTTTACAATTGCAGCAAACGAACATCCGGTCATACGAAAGATCTCTTCGAAGTACGGCGGATCATGAGCTTTTATGAAAGTACGTATGATTTCATCCTCGGTCATGGGCGGCTCGACCTTCGCAGCTACTTTTCTCCATCTCTTAGCATAGGTTTTGTGGTCCTCAGAAGGCTTCCTTTTCGTTCCTTCCAGAGTAGTCCGGGTGGGAGCCAACTCGCAGTTGTACTCGTACTGTCTCACAAATGCATTAGACAAATCAATCCAGGTTTTCACGTCTTCAAGTTTCAGGTTGGAATACCAGTCAAGCGCATCCCCTTCCAGACTCTCGGGGAACAACCTTAAAGGCAAATTCTCATCGTCCACAGGCTTTCCCAATTTGTTGGCAAATAGTCGGAGATGTGTCTTGGGATTACCCGTCCCATCATATTTGTTAAATTTAGGGGTTTTGAACCCCTCAGGCAACTGCACGCTCGGAAAAAGGCACAAGTCATCATAATCCAGGACTCCCTGCTTGTTCAGCCCCTGGCTCTTCCTTATAAATTCATCGAAACGATCTAGACGTCTGAGCAACTTCATATCGATTGGAGCAGAAGATTCACCCATTTCAGGCTTATTTTGGAAAGTGTGCTCCGGTATCACGGGTTCTGCGGTGGTTTGATAGAAAACTGGTGGGTTCAGATGCATGTTTGGGTCACTTTGAGGCTGAAATCCTTGACTATAGGAAGGGTAGAAAGGAGGATTTTGAGTAAAAGCATATTGCGGGTTAAAAGTTCCCTCAAACGTGGTTTGAATTGGAGGAATAACAAATGGTAACGTGGTTTGAATTGGCGGAATAACAAATGATTCGGACTGTGTTTGTTTGATGGGCGGAGACTCGGGTTGCACTCCGCTACTAACGAGCTCATCGATCAGTTTCTTTTGGGCGGCCATTTCAGATGCCATCTCCCCAAATTTAGTGAGCAATTCGGTCAACTGAACCCCGGGACTTGCAATCTCCGGCTGGGTCGTTGCAACGGTCTTTTCCGATGACTCTTGTTGGGTACTCATGTCTACACGATTCCTTTGGGCCTTACTTCGGGATCGCGTTATAATGGGGCTTCGTCGAGAAGCTATGTTTAAAATTTTACCTGAGAATGCAAAAGACTTCTTTAGATAAGCCAATCGTTATTAGATTTTCTGCAATTTATTCAAAAGGGAAAAAAGAAAAAGGCATGAGTTAGTAATTATTCAAACAACTCAGATGCATGTCCTACGGGGGGACCCTTTTTGTGCCAAGGGTAGGCCTAGCATGATGCAACACCTTCGAAATGGGACCCGTAATACAAACCTGTTTTTGACAATAATCCAAAATGAGAGCAAAAGAAAAATCATTTTCATTGATAAACTTGCCAATATTTACATCATGTCACGAAGACGATTCCGTACAAGATTACCAAAACTTCTGAACCTATCTAATACAGAGTCCTTTGTTTCCCTAGCATATGGAATTCTAACACGTTCAGTTTGGTCATATAATTCTGCACATTTTCTTTTCAGCTCTTGACGCCTTCCTCGTTCATTTTCATACAATTGCTTGCTTTGCTCGGCCATCCCTTTGTATGCTTCGACAGACTTACTTAACTGCAGAATTTCCCTATCTTTTGCTTCGACAATGGCCTTTAACCTTTTCACCTCCTCAGCTGGCTCATCTTGTGTTTCTTGTGTGGCGGACCTTCTCACCCAGTCTTCGTATTGCGGAGTGGTCAATCCCCTTTGTTTGAGTTCCGGAACGTACTTGACGCGTTCGTCGTCGGACAACGTCTCCCAGGCCTCATTAAGAAGGATCTTCATCGGAATTTCTCTCGGACATATCCCTTTATCAAAGATGATGGTAAATGTAGTCAGATCAACTGCAGACGGCACATCTTGAACTCGCCCTAATTGTCGGAGGAACCTTCTTGGATTGTATGCCATGATACCCTGAGTACCCAATAAAGGAACAAGCTCGGATGCCTTGGTGCGAAGAACAGGCTTGACACAATTGGTCCAATCCAATACCCATCTCACATTTTGATTGGTCACATTCGTCAAAAAGTTCACAAACTCGGATGCGTTACACGGCAAACTACTGCTATTGATCCTCTTGTGATGTGTGATTACCCAGTTATATCCGGCCATTGGTAGACTCCCGGGAATAGACGGTTGTCTCATGAAGTGCTCCATCCCCCACACATGTAAAATCAAATTTGAACCACAAAAGAACTTTTCCCCTCTCTGACAGGTAGTGCAAGCTACGAAAATGGCGGCCAAAATAGTTGGAACAATAGAACACTGTTTATCTTTTATTCCTAGAAACAAGTCATACAAGATTTTAGTGAGCTTGAAGGCTATCTTTTTGTCTTTCCTAGGGAAAAAGTAGGTTCCAGCCATGACCAATCCATATACCCAAACTCTCTTTCGTTCCCATATTTCCTTGGAAGTAAACGAGAAATCTCCCCGGTGCCTTTCAAAACCATCCCTTAATGCGAATCGATCAAATAAGAACTTTGCCTCTATATTTTGGTCCGACCCTTGAATTACTGATTCCTTTAATCCAGTGAAACGACAAAATTCGGCCTTGTTAGATACTAGTGGAAATATCACGGCAGCTCCCTGAATTGGCAAATTAAGAAATCCGGCAACCTCTTCAATTGTTATGGTCATTTCCTTTTCCCCAAGTCTAAATGCGGAACAAGTGGAATCCCACAAATGCACCAAGGCTTCCACCAAGTAGCCATCGGATTTAATGTCTTTAAAATCCCCAACGGGTCCTAATCGAGCGGCTACTTGGTTGATTTCACTATGTGAAAGGAATGTGGGCCACCTTTGTACCTCCGACGGTACTACCAACATCTGTTGGACTCGGCGAGGGCTTTCCATCTAAGAACAAAAACCGGTGTCAAATACCTTACCCACGGGTCCCATTTCTCTGGTTAAACATGAATTTAAACGTGCAATTCCCAAGATGGGGTTAAGTACCCACGGGAATATAGGGTTGGCTTATCCCTAGTGCGGGATTCCCTAAATGGCATTCCCTTTCTATGGTTTATGCACGATGCCAGTTTATTAAAGCAGTAAAATATGCAATCGAAATGAAACATGACCTAAGGGACCCTTTATTTGCCAGGGTAAGCCTAAAATGATATGACATTATTAACTTATGAATGAAATATACCAAAACTTTTAAACGTGCGATATCCTATCTACACGGGTAGGCCCTAAAAGAAGGTCATGCCAGACCTCTTATTTGTTAGGGTTTGTGAATGCAATGGGGACACAAAACCAAGAAATGTTAGTTCAAGCAGATAAATACACATAACACATTGTAGCAACAAAATCAATACAAAGAAATAAAGCAATAAAAGGGAGAAAGGGGTTGGACCCCTCCCCTCGTGAATCGTGTCCCTAACAGGGTAAGGCAGACTCTACCCTAGGTAAACTATCATGGATGCATGAGGTATTGGCTCACTAATGCAGCTAGACTCGATAGGCTTTAGGTCCCCGAGCCTTCAGACTTGGAAACCAAGGGTCATCAATCCCAAGGTTCTTTGTCGGTGGCTCGAGCGATTCCCCAGACATTGCTACGCACACGTCGTGTCACGGCCACATGTCTGAGTGAATCTATCAAAAATCCTCAATCTTCGACTAAAAGCTATAGGCTATTAATCCAAAGCTTAAAGCGGAAGATTAAGTGACCCCTCGGATCGTGCTACGCACACGTCGTGTCACGATCACACGTCCAAGTGGGTCGCCTAAAAATCCTAACAGGGTGGAGTGGCGTGACAAGCCACTAAAAGAAAAATAAATGAGGGACGAAAAATTAAAGCGTATGCACGTATGCTAGTGCTCGTTCGGAGGGGAGGGATCAAGAACCCACGCGAGGCTCTAGGGTATATCCCCCCACCCAAATGCAATGCAAAGCGCGAGATAAAACAAGTAAAATATACATCCAAACAACCAATCATACATACGTGAGTGGGGAGTAGTTTGGTACGTGCGAGAGGCAAAAAGTCCTAAAAAGGAAAAATGCAACCCTAATATCCAAATGCTATGCATAAAAAGGGTAGAAAAGGGAAAAGAATGGCCAAATCAAATGCTTGGACCCACTTAGGAAATCCCCAGTGGAGTCGCCAACTGTCGCGCCCCACTTTTCGATTCGAGTTGAATTGTGTATGGTGTGGTGTGTGAGTGATGTGTGTGTGAAGTGTGGTGTGAACGTGTGCAAAATGAAAAGTAAAAGGCCATGGGACTTTGGAAAGCGACGATTTGGCCAAATGAGATTTTAAAAAGGGTTTTTTAAATATGAAAACGGAGTCGCCACTTGGTATAGATTTGGGGTGTACCAAGTCACCCAAAAAGTATTTTTTAAAAGAATTATTTAAGTTCAGCTTATAGCCCCAAAAGTATTTTCTTTAACATGCGATATCAGATTTCTTGGTCAAATTGCATTTTCCTTACCATGCTTCCAATAATGTTTTCATGGTCTAAGAAATTTTGTTTTTTGGTTTTCAATTTTTGATGTTTTCGTCTTGAATTTTTAGGTTGCAAAGAGATTGGAGAAGTTTAAAACAACAATTTTCACACAGATGAGCATGCTTGCCATTAAGCATGGGGCTATTAACCTGGGGCAAGGCTTTCCCAATTTTGATGGTCCTGAATTTGTTAAAGAAGCAGCTATTCAAGCCATTAAAGATGGAAAAAATCAATATGCTCGTGGATATGGTGTGCCAGATCTCAATTCAGCTGTTGCTGCAAGATTTCATCAGGACACTGGACTCCTGGTTGACCCTGAAAAGGAAGTAACTGTGACCTCAGGATGCACTGAAGCAATTGCTGCAACCATTTTAGGCTTAATAAATCCTGGAGATGAAGTCATCCTTTTTGCTCCTTTTTATGACTCATATGAAGCCACCTTATCCATGGCTGGTGCTAAAGTAAAGAGTGTAACACTACGGCCTCCCAATTTTTCAGTACCTCTTGATGAACTCAAGTCTGTTATCTCCAAGAATACTCGAGCAATCCTTATCAACACTCCACATAACCCCACTGGGAAGATGTTCACTCGAGAAGAGCTCAGCTTGATAGCATCTCTGTGCATTGAGAATGACGTTCTAGTTTTTGCAGATGAAGTTTATGACAAACTAGCTTTCGAAATGGATCACATTTCTGTGGCGTCCCTTCCTGGGATGTACGAGAGGACTGTCACTATGAATTCATTAGGGAAGACTTTTTCCTTAACTGGCTGGAAAATCGGGTGGGCAATAGCTCCTCCACATCTGACATGGGGAGTGAGACAAGCCCATTCATTTCTCACCTTTGCAATCGACTCCCATGCAGTATGCAGCTGCAACAGCGCTTAGAGCCCCAGACTCCTACTATGAGGAGCTAAAGACTGATTACATGGCAAAGAAAGCGATCCTTGTCGATGGATTGAAGGCTGCAGGTTTCATAGTTTTTCCATCCAGCGGAACTTATTTCATAATGGTGGATCACACTCCTTTTGGGCTGGAAAATGATGTTGCCTTCTGCGAGTATCTGATCAAGGAAGTTGGAGTTGTGGCAATTCCAACTAGTGTCTTTTACTTGAATCCAGAAGAGGGAAAGAATCTTGTAAGGTTTACCTTTTGCAAGGATGAGGAAACTCTTAGAAGTGCGGTTGAGAGAATGAAAGCGAAGCTGTCCAAGAAGTTCTAACCCACGAGGCATGTTTTAGAAATACCTCATTTATATGGTGCTACTATTTGTAATATGCAGCTGTGGTGTTGCGTGGGACAATAAATTGTGACTGTTACCATTGGCACCATAAGGAATTGCAAAAACAAAAATACTTATGGGATTTAAAGTTCTATTGATAAATCATTTCTATGATGGGATTATTTCGGAAACCTCCCCTAACCTGATAATTAACTTGTCACCCTTGAAGTTTCAAATGTTTTACTTATCTCTCATATTAGTGAGATGGGGCCACTAATCATCATTTATGAATTTGATAAAATTACCCTGATTGCTTACAATTTTTTTACGGTTAAAAAGTATGGAAGAAAAAAATTGAAATCGCCAAGATTAAATGGCTGTTTTAACATTTTCGTTTTTACTTGGACCATCACACTTATTTAGCCCCCCTATGCCAACCACGTATTAAGTTATCCTTATTATTCTAATAATTATTTAGGAAAAAAAATCTTATTTAGTCCTCCTGTGTCAACCATGTATTAAGTTATCACTGTTATTCTAACAATTATTTTTAAAATTAAATACCTTCTCCAAAAAAATTTTTGAGTCCTCCTAAGTAAACTTTATATTAAATAACCCTTACCATTCTAATTTTTTTTAAGTAAAAAAGTTCGAAAGAGAAAAAATACCAAAATTCTTTAAAAAAAATGCTTATTCTAACGACCATTTTTACACTTAAACATCTCACTGCCTCACTTTCAATTCTCCTATGCCAACCTTATATTAAATTTTCATTACATTCTAGCAACTATGAAAAATTTTTGGAAGAGGAAAAGCCAAAATTCATGAGAAATTCATATAAAGTTTTCTATAAACCAATTGTTTATATAAAGTTTTCATATAAATTACCCTCGTTATTTCTAACAATTGTTTATGCAGAAACTTTGGAAAAAGAAAAATCAAAATCCATAAAAATTGGCTATTCTACTAATTGCTTTTTCACTCATACACCCCCCTCTCTCCGACTTCAATCCTCGTATGCAACCTTATTTTTAAAATTTTTCTAGGGAATAGGTTTAGAAAGTGAGAAGAGGCAAAGGAGAATTTGAATTTAGAAACTCTCGGTTCTCAAGTTTCAACTTTAGTCACTCGACTAAGACCTTCTCGACTTATCTTTACTATTCTAACAATTATTTAGGGAGAACTGTTCAAAATATTTTTTACATTTCGCAAAATGAATTTTTTCTCCCTTATGTTTAAAATATTAACTTTACATCCCCTACAAAATCAAGTCGGCCAATTTTGGTTTTCAACTTAGGTTTCTGACTATCTTTTAACCTGAATCCATCATGTGAATCCATACGTAATTGTTTTTTTGATGTACAGAAAGATTAAATCACATTTATAATTAAACAAATTGCTTGACCTATATTCATTTTTGCTGCTAAGATATAGTCATTTTTGCACTTTATCCCTAACATTATTTTTTCTCACTTTTTTGCCTAAACCATTAGTCAATTCTAACATTGTGTAGTGGTAATGTCAAAAAGACATTTATACCCCTAAGAGTTAACCACAGGAAATCCCCTTAACATATAACTTGTTTTGGGTTTTATTCCCAACATTATTTTTTCTCAATTTGTTTGTTTGTTAGTAAAATCATTAGTGAACTCCAATATTTGATAACACCCAAGACAAATAATCTCTAAACAATTAATATTCCTTACATAATAATGAAAAAAATAATATTTTATAAATGTGGTCCTAGTTAAATTTCATTCCATAATCACTTTTTTTTTGGATTGAGGAGAATATCTTGCTAATTTGACATAATAATAGAAAATAAAAATTTTTATTGAAAAATTAAAATGTGAAATATATTTATAAGTTCAAAATAGTCAAGATATTGTCAGTTTCTCTTTACAATTGTGCATATGGCTATACTTTTCTTTTAATTGCTAGATATTTCTTTATATGAGAGTATATATTTTTTCTGTTGGTAATACTAAAAAAAGAGAGAAATATGGTTGATTTGGGTTTCAAAGTTTCTTCTTTTTTTGTCAAAAGTTTCAAAGTTTCCAGGGTTGTTCTTTTAATATACCATACCTAGATGCTTTTAAAATTTATTTGGATTGCTAAATTTTTTTTAAAAAAAATTCTTTTTGCATCATACACACGTCTCTCAATCATCACTTTATTTTTTTCAACCACCTTTTTGCTTAACAAACATCAAATTGCAAAGTACTATTATTATAAAAAAATTTCCAAATAATTTCAATCCAAGCAATTAATTTAATTTTGTACTATAATTTTTTCCCTTATCACGTGAAATGAGCGGGATATTTTCTTTATCTAAAATCTATAAATATAGGATAAAATTTACAAGACCATTATCGATATATAATATTTTCACTATTATGTTAGGAATATTTGATTTTTTAACATTAGTTATCTTGAATGTACAAAAAAAATTAGAGTTCACTAATGGTTTTAAAGACAATTGACAAATTAAGAAAAATATTAGAGGATAAAGTGCAAATACGCTATACCTTAAGGGGATTTACTAAATAACATTAGGGACAAATGCAAAACTAGTTAAACCTTAGGGGATTTTTTATAATTAACCCCTAAAAGAATGGGATCTAAACTTTTGCACCTAAGAAATAACCACGTGTAGGTAACATGGTTGATTCAGGCTAAAAGGTAGTCAGCAATTTTAGGTTGGACCAAATTTGACTGACTTTATTTTGTAATGGACGAAAGTTAGCATTTTAAAAGTAAGGGACCAAAAAAAATTCATTTGACAAATGTTAAGGACGTTTTGAATGATTTTTCAATTATTTATGCGAAAGAAATTTGGAAGAGAAAAATTTGACATTCATAACAATTTTTTTGCAATCAACATATCTCTCCTCCACATTTATACTCCTATTCCAACCTTATATTACATTTGCCTCATTATTAACAATTATAGAGGCAAAAAAAAAAAAAGAACCATCAAATTGATTAAAAAAGTTAATATTCTAACTATTATCCTTGCAGTTAACACCGTACCCCAAATTATGTTGGCATGGTGGTAGATTTGATGTTGAACTAGTGTCTTGTGGTGTGGGCAGTGGAGGACTAATGATGATGTCCAAATTACCACCAGTACTCTAGTTGTTTTAGACAAATCTGTGATCAAAATCGTTATTTACGTCAAACAAAGTTGGGGTATAAATTTTGTCAAGTTCTGCCACAATGATAGTGACGATATTTTACAAGTTGTAAAAACTCAGAACTCCAGCTACAAGCGCATAGGCTATAAACATGTATAGGAGAATCGAGATCGATCCCACAATGAACTATCAAAGCTGTAAAACTACTCTATTATTTACATAATTCATAAGCTCATGTGAAATCAAATCTATTTATAAAATACAAGTACACGTTGCACAAATTTGATCAAAAAATGAAAGTAAACAGTGAACAATTAGAGACAATTTCCTAGGATTTTCAACTTCCTCACTTGTCAAAGATTGGGGTCTAATCCGACTAATTAAATTTTGAATCATGTCATGCCATGCAGCAATTTTCAAATATATTCAACATTCATTTTTGTTAGTATACCAACTATACATATAATTATTTCATCTTTACTTTCGTAGTGTAAACTAGTTACGAGTTTATTAAGATTTGTGCGATTGCTTGGTAAATTTTACAAAGAAGTATCTCTATTTTTGTGAGTTTACAACCTAGGGTTCATGCCTTTACTATCTACCATCGAAGCTCAACTTTCATTGGTTATACGATACATTAGATGGTTTGTAATTAACAGCCAGTTAATCACAAAGATAAAGCGCGAAAGCATGAATTGGCAGGTAGATATTTTCTAAATAGTTATGTATTTCAAAAGATTTTGTCCCACATTGAAAAACCAAAGAAACTTCCAATCATTTTATAAATCTTATCATCTTAGGGCTTGTGGCGAGTTAAGAACTAGTATGGGCTCACGCGCACAAGAGAGAATTTGAGTTGGCTAATCTAGAGTAAATTGGTGGATTTGCAACCCCCTTCCTGCGCATGGGTTACTTGAAAGGATAGAGTTCTAATGGATAAAATTTCTCTACTCCTCATTTCTCCTTTTCTCCACACCCTCTACTCTCCTCCGCCTCTACTGGTTTATTACATTTGCTGTTCCTATTCCCTCTTATTAACTAAAAGGCTTGTTTAATTTTGAGAAACATTTCAAGGTGTTGGTTTATTACATTTACTGCTCCTATTCCCTCTTATTAACTAGAAGGCTTGTTTAATCTTGGAGAAACATTTCAATACCTTGAAATAGTTTCTTAGAATAGTGCTATTTAGCACGACTCAAGTTTCTATCCATTTCATTATTATTTTGTTAACATTGTTCGAATTATTTCCAACAATCTAAGAAGCTATGTCTTCCGGTGATGTTAACGCATCCCAGCTATCATATGCATTAGGAGCAGTCATGTTTGTGACGACCCCACCTCCCCTAGGGCGTACCCATGGTTTCGCGGACCGCCTGCTCAACTCTCGCCAGAACTCATTCACTCTTAACAAATAAAATAAGGTATAACCTCAAGAATAAATGAAATAATAGTTCCCAAATTTGGAACGTGTACTTACATTCATATCTATCTCAAACATTCATACAAACCCAAATATAACAAAAGTTGTGAATTCCAAATACATACAACCCTAACCGAGCACTAGCGCGAGTACAATCGCAAAAATTCAAAAACTAGACTATGATAGCCTGTACCAGTCTCACGCCCTCGCTCGTATCCCCTGTAAGGAAAATAAAACTAAACGAATGAGTTAAAAGCCCAGTGAGGTTCCCAAACAAGTAATCAAGCAATTGAAACAAGGACATTAGTCATTTAATAACAATCAATCGAGAAAACATTCGCAATATAAAAGCAATGAGAACACACTCATTAAAAGGATACATGCTTACGTGGAGCCATTCGTTCATTCATTCGCCAACCATTTTCCTTATCCCTCCAATATTAAAAAACATTTGCAAGTGAAAACTCCTTCAGTGTTTTTGACACTCATTCATTGATTTCATTTTCCGCCACTAGCCAATTCACTGGTCAGTTGTCCCAATCTTCATGATCATACTCGAGTATACCAAAACACTGTTCCACAGTCACCAACCGCCTGACCGAGTCCGCTTCTGGCTCGAGTCGGCTGGCAACGA